AAAAAAAAAAAAAAAAAAAAAAAAAAAAAATGAAAGAAAACGACTTATGGTCCACAACGTTTGAAGAGTCAGAAAAACATAACTATTAATTAATCAGTCTCTAAAAAGATTAATGGTTCTCTATTTTCTAAGTGTCGTCGTCGTGTGTTTCACAAAAGTAATTGGAACTGGAGAGGCTAAAAAAACTTAGACGTTTTCTTTTGAACGAAGAAGAATTACAGCCGCCTAAAAGAGGCATTGAAATGTACAAGTAGAACCGTAAGAGTGAAATGCACAAATACACAGTAGATAAAAAGAATCTCATATGAAAGATTACAATGTCAAATAAAACCTGTACTTCAACAACAACAGCCGATAAAACTTGAATATTCTGAAAGCTCATCATTCATCGGCACTATAGCTCGAAACATTTTACATCAAATAGGAAAGAAAAAGAATGCCAAGCCCGCTTATTTTAAAGCAACCGAGAGAGGAAAAACTGTCTCGTGAAAAAAAAACAACAACAGTCTGCGATAACAAGTTACATCAGGACTTCGGAACGATACCCTTATATGATTAAATAAGTGTTATAAGTTTGACTACGGCTATTCATTTCCAATCCAAAATCGAAAAAAAAACTCTAAATATCTTCTGAAAACAAAGTCTGTTTGTAGCCCTGACAAATAAATAAAAATTAAAAAAAAAAGTAAAAGCAAATAATCAATAAAACATGAAAAAACTCCTTTTCAATTAGTGAGTCTTAAATACAAGAGGACTTTTTAAACAAAAACTGTACCACAATAACAGCTAAATTTACAAAAAAATAAAAAGAAAAAGCGAAACAAAAATGAAAGACTTAATATCCAAATAAATTCAGAACCTTTCAGTCACTGCAACATAAACGCCGTGAGCATAGATGCAACCACTATGCCTCACCAGTGTTTGAAGAGTGAGATTTTCAAAAACTCCGTAAAAAGATCAATTACCTCGTCATATGATATCAAAGATCGCAAACAGAAACGGCATTAAAAATAATAATAATGGTAAGAATGATAATATCGCACAATATCCTCGCCTAAAATTATGGTCAATATAAAATGGTTAATTAAAGTGAAAGAAGTATTTGAAAAAAAAAAAAACGTTTGCCCAAGAATTTGGTAGATTTTGGCACAAATACGACTGGAGTACAACAATTCTGAACAGCACTGATGTCCAAAAAAAAAAGTAAAACAATAAAACGGCAATTAGATTTAAAATCTTTTCAATTAGCAAGTTGATCAAGTACCTACAAATTGTAAATGTAGAACTGAAACCCGTGTTTCCGAAGAAAGCGACCAATTACCCGTCGATAATTCTGTGAAAAAGGAATATTACGCACGTCAGAAGTAAACAGACAACGACTGCGGAAAACCCAGATTAACTGGCTTTTGCAGAGCAGTACAATGCCTTCCCTCAGAATCGTTAATAATTATCACAACTTGTCGCTAACCTGTCCCACTGAAACAAGACTATACACTTTCAGAGAGACTGTTAGAAAAAAACGGTATGGAACGTACCAGTGTAAACCAAAGTTATTCCAGATCAATCAACCGGTTTCACGAATGAAAAAGGAAAGTAGCCAACCTGAAAGTTGAAGAGGATAAAAAAGATAAATTCTGCAGATAACCAAAAACTTTATATAGTTAACACTAATTAAGTTAACACCAGCATGCCCTTCACTTGAAAGTATGTCGACGAAGTAGAAAGCTAACAGACGAAAAAGACACCCTATCACCAGATTTGCCTTTCCACCACCCTCGTTCTTCACCTGTTCTGCTTATCACATAAACAATCTGACCCGTCTTCAGCTCCAAGAAATTAGAATTAGCCGCTTCAAAGTTGTGAATTGCTTTGTAAGGTTGGTTAGGTGAATAGTGTTCGCCAAGAATAGTATCTAACGTTTCGAAAGATTCGCGCAAATTGTGTCCTTTATAATAGTTTA